ATGTCTGACTGGGATATCATCTTCCTCTAGAGATGAAACACCAGATAGTGACGGTTGATCAGCTCCTGAAGTAGCCTCTGATTCCTCCTCATCGTCATTATCTTCCTGGATCAGTTCTTCAAAGACACGAGCTTTTGCTGGTGACTTAATATCAGCAGTAGCTGTGACATTCTGTGAAATAGGTTGTTGTTTTGTCTGGTCATGTAATGCTTCATCTGCTAATTTTTGTATATATGCGATGTGATCCAGTTCCTCTTGTATGAGCTGATTGGAAGTAGCTGCTTCCAGCGTAGAAGGCCTAGGAGGTTCATCCTCAGAAGATTCTGGTTCCCATAAATTTTGCAGCGATGACGCGATAGGTTGGTGTCGTTCTTCAAACTCTGGCGATGCAAGTTCAGTATCTGTCTTCCTAGATGTTACCACGGGAAACTCTTCCCTTTCATCGACACTTCTTGGCAATGAAGCTACTTCGCCGTAACGTTGGTAATCTTCTACTGGAGAAGTAGCGTCTGAAGGGGACATTTGGTCTGCTCCAGATGTGGTTTCCGACTCAGCGTTTGTTTCTTCTTCGGGAACTTCACTCACTTCAGCTGGCTCGGCAACCTCACTGGCTCCTTCTGCAAGCTGCGATTCTGCTACTGACTCTGTGAGCGTCTCAGTTAGCTGGTAACTTCTTGGCGCTTCATCTGCAGGTTCCTGTGCTTCTTCGGTTTCTGTAACTACAATTCCAACGTTTGTAACATCATCTGGTTCTTCTGGCATAATGGCTCCAGGGGATGATGCGCTAGGAGAAGCCTCATCAGCTCCAGAAGTGGCGCTCTCATTGTCATCCACCTCTTCTTTAGCAACTTCTATATCGAGGTCTTTCGGTTGCGGTATCGTGTCAATGATGGTTCGACTGTCATCCGAGATCGAGTATCCGCGCTTAGGCAACATTTGGGACATCGAGTCTTGCTCCGACTTCGCATCGGTGAGTTCATCTTCCTGGTGTGCAAGATTAGTCAAAGGCTCCATTGTAGTTGACAACGCAGCTGCCAAATCTACGCCAGGTGCTTGTACAGTATCTAAAACAGCTGAATCAGCAGCTTTGACGTCAGACGCCAGCGATTCAGGTTGTTCAATTCTGTCTTCTGCTGAGTAATTTTCAAGGGGCGGAGGGGATGAGATCACGTCATCATCTACATCATGCATCTCCGCTGGTATTTCCATGGTATCCTCGTTGCTATAGATGTTATTAGGTTGATCTTCAATGTAGTCAACATCTTGTTGTTCACTGTGTCCCGGTGTGAGTCCCTCAGGAGAAGATGCGTATGATGTCGATTGATCATCAGCTACAGAAGTTTCCCCAGAATCTTCATCTGCACTGAGTTCGCGATGGAGAGTTTCTTCGAGATCAGTGATGGCGGGTCCTGTTTCCGTGATCGCACTGACTTCAGCTAGGTTTTCCGCTTTTGGTCTGAATTCTATCTGGGATTCTTCTGCCAGTCTCTGTATATATGCAATGTGGTCCAGCTCTTCCTGTGTAAGCTGTACACTCGCCGCGTCTGTCGCCTCTTCAGCAGGAGGCGCTTCTGTGTACGCAGGTAAAGAGGACGTCTGCGGCGCTGGATGTGCTAGTGAAGAATCTTCTGCCAGCTTTTGAATGTAAGCTATGTGATCCAGTTCTTCCTGAGTAAGCTCAGACTTTGGCAACGTAGGCTCCAATGCGCTTTTGCTCTCAGTCGCTTCTTCGTTGTTTGCTGTTCTATCCTGGGCGCTATCAGACACAAAAGATCCTGGGAACAAGGACAACTGGTCTTGTTCAGCAAGTTTCTGTATGTATGCAATGTGGTCCAGTTCTTCTTGAGTT